TTCCTTCCATCGCACTCTCCAACTGTATGTTGCTAGAACATAGCAATATTGCCGATTCCTTACATTTATCTTGTATCCCGTCACTGTTAAACGCACATGTCCTGGTAGCTTTTTCTGAATATTAATATTTTATTATCTGTGAATGAAAAGTTTTACTTATTCCTTTCCAATTTTTGTGCCTCCACCCCCCACCCCCATCTCCCAAGTGCTTTTATTGGCCTTACTGTGCTGGACAGGACTCCCGTACAATGTCAAGTAGAAAAGGCGAGAGCAGACACCCCTCACCTGATCCCGTCTTTAAAGAAAAGACTTGTCTTTCACCATCCAGTGGCATGTTAGCTTTGGGTTTTTCATAGATGCCTTCTGTCGTGTTGGGAAGGTTCCTTTCTAGTCCCAGTTGCTGAGATTTTGAAACCAGTTATTGGTATTGAATTTTATCAAATGCTCCTACTGCGATACTTGTTTTTCTCTGGGGTCCTGTTACCATGGTGAATTACCTTGACTGAGTTTTAAATGTTCAGCCCATTTCACATTTCTCATGGCCCACTGCTCATGTGCCTCTATCTGCTTTATAACAGCTGGGTTCCAGTTGGCGATGTCTTAGTCAAGACTCTGCATCTCTGTTCATGAGGGACATTGGTCTCCATGTCTTACTCCTTTTTCTGTTCTTGTTTGCCTGTTTGTTTGTTTTTAAATAGCATTTTTGTCCAGTTTGGCATCAGGATAATACTGGCTTCAGAAAAACAAGTTGGCAATGATTCTCTCCACCTGTTTTCTTAGAGTCTGTGTATGATGGCTATTGTTTCTTCATTAAATGTTTGATAGGGCTCACCAGTGAATTCATCATCTGAGAGGATTTTAAATTATGAGTTCAGGTTTTTTTTAAAGATACTGGGTTATTCAAACTTTCTCCTTTTCTTGTGTCGCTTGTTGTAATTTTCAAAGAACGTATCCATTCCAGCTGTACATTTATTGGCATAGGAGGTTGTTCCTCAGATGCCATCATTGTCCTTTTTAGGATCTGGAGTCAGTCTTCTCTCTCATTCCTCTTAGTGACAATCTGTGACTTCTCCCTTTTTTCTTGGTCAGTCATCATCCATTTTATTGATGTTTTAAAAAAAAGAAAAGCCTTGGCTTTGTCTGTTGTTTTTTCTGTTATTATATTTCATTGATTTCTATTCTTACTATTTTCTTCCTCTGGTTAAATCCCTCTTACTTTTCTAAAGTAGAAATTTAGATCATGGATTTCAGACATTTCTCTTTGTCCAATGCAAACATGTAAAGCTGTAATTCTCTCTCTAGGCACTGCATTAGGTTCATTCCACAAAGTCTGATATATTCTTTATCATTCAATTCAAAATGTTTTCTAAGTTCTCGTGTGATTTCTTCTTTGATCCAGGGGTTACTTAGAAGCATGTTGTTTAATATCTAAATATATAGAGTTTTCCAATTACCTTTTTATATTAATTTCTATTTAATTCTGTTATCATCAGAGAACATATTCTGAATGAGTTCAATGCTTTTAAATTTACTGAGACTTATTTTATGGCCAAGTACAGGGTCTACCTAGGGGAATATTCCATGCGCACTTAAAAATAATGTGTGATTGTGAGATGTGGTTTTAATTAGGTTGATGAGGTTGCTCATGCCTCTTATATTTTTATTAATTTTCTGTTTGTTCTGCAGTGCATTACTGGGAGAGGATTGTTGAAATCTCTAAATTTTAATGGTAGGCCTGTCTATGTTTTTCTTTTAGTTCTGTCAGGTTTTAGAGATCTACTAGTAGATGCATACACATTTAAGAAAGTTATTCTTCTTAATGTATTGTTCTTTTACCATTATTAATAGCCATCTTTATCTCTGCTAATAGTCTTTGTTTTGAAGTCTATTTTGTCTGATATTAATATAGCCTTTCCAACTTATAGTATTTTATTAATACTTTCATAGTATATCTTTTTCCTCTTTTTCTCTTTATCCTAAATGTGTCTTTTTTATATTAAAATTTTGTATCTCGTAGGTAGTACTTTGTTAGATCTTGCTTTTTTTTAATCTGAAAAAAAAAATATCACACTATGTATAAACATCAATAGAGTTGAGTGTAAATCTACCACCTTGCTATTTTGCTATTTTTTCAATACTTTCTTTGATTCTTTAGTGTTCCTTTTCCTGCCTTTTGGATTAGTTGAGTATGTCTTAGTATCCTATTTTATGTCCTATATTGCCTTCAATACCTTTTTGGGGTTTTAGAGGATTTTTTTGTTTGTTTTGTTTTTGGTGTTTGCTCTTGGGTTCACTATATATATCTTAAACACATCAGAACCTCCCTTCCAATATTATATCACTTTATGTATGATGTAAGAAGTTTACAACTGTATATTTTTAATTCTTCCTCTGTCCTTGGAACTAACATATGTTTTATTTTAGCACTGACGTGATGCCCTTTGCCTAGCTGTGCCATAGTGCATTTATCCATTAACCTACAGGAAAACATCTTGGTTACATCAATGTTTTGGCAATCATGGTCTCTCGTTTTAATTTACAATTTCCTAATGACATATGCCGCAGAGCATATTTCCATATGCTCATTTGCTATCAACGTATCTTCTTTGGTCAAGTGTCTGTTCAGGTTTTTTGCCCATATTAAAAATCAGGTTCTTTTTATTTTTAGTTTTAAGAGTTCATAAGTTTTGGAAAACAGTTCTGCATCTGTAAAGACAAATCTGAGTCTTGTCCTCCCATTCTCTTGACAGTATCCTTCATAAAGAAGTTTTCAATCTTAATGAAGTCCAGCTTAGCCATTTTCTTTCATGGGTCACAACTTTGGTTTTGTACCCAAAAAGCCATCGCCATGCTCAAGGTTACCTTGATGGTCCCCTAGCTTATCTCCTGGGAGTTTATGGTTTTGTGTTTTGCATTCAGACCTTTGGACCCCTCTCAGCTAACCTTTGTGAGGTGTGGGCCTATGTGTAGATTCATTTTCTTGCACGAGTATGTCCAGTGGGTCCAGCACCACAGCCTGCACAGCCAAAGGTGCAAGAAAGATGACAAGAGCTACTGCCACGGGAGAGACCATTACACACATGCAGATGCTGGGAGGGGCTCAAATGAGGAACAGAGGCAACCGGGCATCAGAGGAGCTGGCAAACTCCAGCCGGGGGGAGCACATCACTGCTACTGCGATGGAGAGGGAGGACCAGATCCAGATGGCATTGGTTTCAGAAGCAGAGAATGGAAAGAGAGGGAGGGAGGGAGGGAGGGAGGGAGGGAGGGAGGGAGGGAGGGAGGGAGGGAGGGAGGGAGGGAGGGAGGGAGAAAATGAGAGAGTGTTTTATGATTTCTTATCGACACTTTGGGATAAGTTGAAAAGAAATCCCAATTCTTGTCCTCTATCCATCCCGTGTGTCAATAACGTCTGGAGAATGTTTAATGTTTTCTTCCAGAATGACTTGTTAATTGCTTTGATTCTTTTCATTTTTGTGAGCTGCTGAGTGTGAATGATGAAGATTATGCACCATCCTTTTCCCTAAGGGATAAGTAATGACTTCATTTGATCCCACGAGGCTTAGTAAAACAGAAGCTTCCGTTTCCTTACTTATGACTAGTGGCCTACAAAGATTTCCTAATTTTTGCCCTCAAATAAATATGACATTAGTTAATCTAAACACAGAAAGATAACGTGAGAGGAGCCCATGAAGACAGCAGACTTACAGTTCACTAAATGGAAGTGATTGAAGTCTGGCCTTAATTAGGGCTCTGGCCTAAGCGAGAAAATCATGTTTCTAGATTTGGGGTTTACACAGAATGACTCAGTTCCAGCTGTTCCCCACATTCGGATGATCTTACTTTTCTTGCGAGATGCCAGACATGTAGGAATGAGAGATTACAGGTGATGCTGTGAGCTTCTTTCCTGGAAACAGGTTGCAGATGGAACACACACTGATTGCTATGGCCACTTACATGGAATGCAGCTCAATCTCTAGCATTTAAACCTCCCACCGGTCCCATGGGCTGGGTGATAATCACCTAGTGGTTGGGTTCTGGCCCAAGATCTAGAACTTGTCCACTAGCACACTTGACAATTAAAAATATTACATATTCTGCTGCATATCCTCAAAAAAAAAAAAAAAGGCAGTTTCACAAGAGACCACAGACCATTCCCCCTGGTGCTGCTGAGCGGCATTCCAAACCGGCAGACACACTTAATATCAGTGAGTCAGTCTTGCAACTCTCCTTTTAGCTTGAAATGGGCCAAGTCTCTTTTACTTCTTACACATCAAAACCTCACATTTTAACTGTAGTGAAGTGGGAGTCCCTTTCCCCCTGGGTTTTTAAAAGGCATCATCTATTGGGCTAATGAAGAGGACGCTCTTGAACTTGCTTCCTTGAAAACATTTTAACATATGACAGGAGAAGACTTACCTTCTTCTGCTTTTCGCCTAAGAGAGGCAATCCCATGAAAGTTCTTGGTTTATTCAGAAAACAATCCTGTTTGGGTCTTACCGTGGAGTAGCAAAGTTTTCCATTTCTTCTCCGTTTCTTTCCTCTGAAGAAATTACGTAGAGAAGTCACCATATATATCTTATCACAAACCTAAGCCTCTGATCACAAACCAAATCCAAGACAGTGTTTGACAATGAGAGGTTTTATTAAACTTGATACATGTACTATACAAGAATTCTGAAAAATAACGGTTATCAAATTATTTCGGATCTAGGTCTCTGCATCATAAAGTCTGTCCCAGAAAAATGCCGGGTCACCGTCTCCTGTGGCTGCAAACCCACGGGTGACCAAGCAGCAGCGTCCTCTCCGGGTGGGACACGTTTCAGGGGGCTTGCCCATCAAAATAAAAGTCCCGGCCCCCATCTCTACACGGTGCCGTGTCAGCCAGGTGAGCTAGGTGAAGCACCTGGGCCGGCCCTACGTCTGCGCTTGGCACGAGGTCCACACAGCATTGGCCCGGGGCAAGCCATCTTCCCCTCAACCGGACACCTCTGCGTGAACTACTCCGAGACGCCTTGCAGGGGTGCAACTTCTAAAACAAAGAGAGTGACAGAGAGGAGAAGGTTTGAATCAAGCATGTCAAGCATATGGCCCGCTGGCCACGAGTTTGACACGCTTGGTCTGAATATTGAAAGGAACACACCAATCATCAAACCGGGCTGTGCCAAAGTGGAGGGAGAGGAGGAGGACGGGAGGAAATGAGCAGCTCTGCAGAACGCCCTGGGGTACAACGAGACTGGCAGGTGCCACTGGCCCCGACCTGGGGCTTGTGAGGGCCACCCCTTCTCTTACCAGGCACGGGCGGCTCCGCGGAGGGGTGCTTGTGGCCGCTGAACAGTTCGGTGGAGTCTTGTTCTGGTGACCTTTCCTCCAGGTCTGACTCTGGAATCGGAGTGCAGCCGCCTGCTTGGAAAACACAGACGATGCTTTCAGAACCGGCTCTTCACGTGGCAAGAGTAGCTGAGAAAGGCGTACCCATCAAACATGTAACAAATGATGTGATGGCGGTGTTCAAGAGCAGACCAAAAGGAATAATCTTATTACATGTCTCCTTTGGTGAAAACACTGGGAGTGAGTTATTGCCCCCAAAGACACATTATACTGACGACCAATCACTCAGCAACAGCAGCGATGGTGTTGCCTGTAAGCTTTCCTTTCCGAAGTCCACAAAACCTGGTGCGGATGGGACAGCCACATGATAACGTGCTTCAGCGGCATTCCCTCCCACACCAGAGTCAGAAGCTACACGATCGGAGGCCCAGAGACCACGGGGGGACGAACCCTTCCTGGGACGAAGAGGAAGGCCGGTCTCTGGGATTTGATTCTATTCCTGACACCCAGCACTCTCCAGGACAGATGCAAACAGACGCCTCCTAGTTCAACAGCAAAGCCACACACTGCATTGTGGAGCTTTCAATCCCACGTGGCTCCAAGGTGAGAGGGGATGGGCTGGCAGCATCCTGGGTGTAAGTCACCTCCCCTTCCCCACCGCAGTCCTGCACGGGAAACTCGTGAAAATTTCCTAACCACACCTGCCCCTCGGGGTGACCAATCTGCCATTGTTTTCTGGATGCAGACAACATGCTGTAGACCGCTCAGGTTTCCCACGGCCAACCTTCTTCGAAATGAAGTGTGATTTTTTTCCACTGAGGTTTTTCACGTGCTGAGCCCAAAGCCTCACACTCAAGTTGAGCTTTACAGGTGAGGGGATTTATGAAGAAAGACGGGGGCCAAAGGAGGGGAGGTCAGCCGCATTCAAATGAGAGGAAGTGGCAGGACCCGGGTCTGAAGAAAACACACCTTACCATTCATTCCTCTGCATCGTCTCTGAAAAAGAAATGGATGTGGAGGAAAGTATTTCCACACACGTGAAAGCAGCATCAGTGCTAGAATTACCCATCAGGGCACGGAGCTGGCCCATCCGGAAGAACCAGGCGTATTTTTTACATCGAATTTATTGGGTGACGTTGGTTCACAAAGCCATCGGTGTTTTACCAGGCTTATTTTTAATCTCTTTCCCACGCCTGTAGATCCTGGTAACAATAATGATCGTTATTAAGTGCTTTCTCAATGCTGGAGACTCTGCCCACATTCTCTCATTTATTTCCTACAAGCCACACCACGAAATAGTTGCTATTCTCAGTTTAGGGAGAAAACGAAGCCCCTACAGATTTGGTATCTCAAGACCTTTGTTGCCTGGGCTCGCTGTCTTGGCTGTGACCGAGTCCCGTGCTTCCCCGGTTTCTGATGGCCTGGCCGCTCTGAGTATGGGCAGGTGTACTGCCGAATGCCCTTCCGCTGAAACCTGTCTGGTGTTTTTTCTCATGATTAGACTGGGGGGAGATTTTTAAGAATTCTTTTAATAAATTCTTGGGTCTCTGCTATCTTAGTAGTGTCTCCAGGTGTCCCTTCTCCTCTATCAAAAGTAGGAGCCAGTGGGCAGTGGCTGGAGAGGCCACTGCAGGGGAAGGAAGCCACCAACGGGGTGAGACTGGACTGTGAAGTTCCAGCAGTGGACAGGCTGGACCCAGCTGGAGGACCAAGGGCAGATTCTGGGCAGTGGACAGGCTGGGTCTAGCTCTAGAACCCAGGGAACGTTACCAGTTGCCCTGGTAACTATAAAATGAGGGTCTTATTGAGCATTTCAAAGAGGCTTAAGAGACCACGGGCACCTAGGACAGTGCTTGGCACGCGGTACTTTTGATTGTCTCTGCCTTTTACTTATTTTCTTGGCACAGAAGCACTTTCCACACCATTTCTATGGAATCAGAGAACTTTCCCTCTTAGTTTAACCGCCTTCATCTAGAAGAGAGCAGAACAGAGGCTCAGGGGGGTAGCTGAGGCCCCCGAAGCCGTAGAGCAAGATCCTGGATCTCCGGTGGCCCACACCATTGGAGCTTCCTCACGAGCATCTCTCTTTCCAGAGACATCTCCGTGGGCTGGGTTGTACTAACTAGCACTTCCTTTCAGCGATACAGAAAACCCACAGGGCTGGCGAGCTGTTCTTTGGGTGTATCTTATAACTTTGCTGACTTATTTTCTTGCCACAGTGGCCTTGGCAATCAAGGAGGTGCATGGATACGAATATTCCATTCCTTCAGGGAGGGAAACGTCTTCTCTTCATCTTTACTCATATTTTAAGAGGAATGGAACAAGAAGACACTGAAAATCACAAATGACCGCAGACCTTGCTCTGACTTGCCAACCAAAGAATCTTCAGTTCATGGGCCTGAACTGCCACTAAGAATTAGAAACAGCAGAAACCTCAAAATATACACCAGTGACATCTGTCTTTTCATCCAGATTTACTTGATGGATAACGTGTTTTTTGAGGTTAACATTCAGATTTCATTTCAAAGGTTTCTAATTCATCTGACATGTGGGGAATGGGTGCTTTGAAAAGAATATTTCACTGTCTTAAATATGAAGACCTTCCCTGAGAGATTATGAGTAGTTAAAAAATTCCCTGTAAATATATTTATTTGAAAAGTTTTATTCTTATACTCTCTCTTTCTCTTTCTATACATGTGCACACAGGCATACAAACATACATGAAAGTTTTCTTGATAATTCTCCTCTACTCTGTTTATTTTTCTAGTTTTTTAAAATACACTTTTGCCCAGCCAGTGGTGCTCAGTGGCTGAGTGTTGACCTATGATCCAGGAGGTCATGGTTTAATTCCTGGCCGGGGCACATGCCCAGATTGCAGGCTTGATCCCGTGTGGGATGTGCAGGAGGCAGCTGATTGATGATTATCTCTCATTGATGTTTCTCTCTGTCCACTTTCCTTCCTCTCTCTGAAATCAATAAAAATATACTTTAAAAATAAATAAAATACACTTCTTTTCTAGGTCAAGGAGGTATAAACTAAAAAGCTAAGCATTTGGCAGAATGGAAGAGCGGCAGGACAGGAAGTGGGCAGAAGAGAGGAGAAGATGGAAGGTGAAGAGGAGAAGGAAAATGATTCATCATCAAAACATTCTATTTTCTGTGGATACATGTCTATGTGAAATATTTGGGGAGACTTACTGAAGGTGTAGACGATAAAATAATAAAGTATACAAATATGTTAACTGTTTGAAAAATGACAACATTTCTCAATGTTAATAGCTCATATTGAAGCTGATTAGGAGGTGGAGCTAGGAGGAAAGGCGGAGAAAACACGGCAAGGACATGCACAAGGGATGCAGAAGAGATAAAAAACAAAAAGTCTACAGGAGATCAAACCTCCACTGACCTTTTCTTCCAACTGGACTTTAGGCCAAAGACCCAATCCACCCTGTACTTGGACCTAACATTTCCCTGAGAACACACTGGAACTGGGGAAGCTGTGTGGGCGGGAATGTTTTTAATGAGTGTGTGTGTGTGTGTGTATTCTAACCTGAAGGGCCAATATGGAGAGCCAACATTTCTGTGAAATTGGGTTTGCAAAGGTGCTTACTGAGCATATGCTTTCCAGAAAAACACACAGACAATATTGTTAATAAAGACAACAGGCATCGACTCCACCAAAGCACATAGAGCCCTGAGAACATGACGGGGCGTTAGGGTGTTCTTACCCCAGCGTGGGAACGTCAAGTAGAAACCACGTGACACACTGCTGCTCCCCAGGAGGAACCGGAGGACACGTGCCCACATCTTCCCCATCTCCACTTCCTCCCTACCCTTTACCCGGTTGTGATATGGAGGCATTCCGGTCTTCCTGTGGGGCAGCTTTACAGTTTACAGTCCCCACACTCAGCAACACAGAAAAAGATGTCCTTCTGCCTAGTCTTAGGTTCCCAGTGCCAATGTATGATACAGTGTTCCTACGTTCTTTTTAATTCCAGTCTACGACTTTCCTTCTTCTGGTGTTTGCAGATGCCATGCTGGCCACCCTGACAGCAGCTCGTCCACTAACAAGAGACACTAAATGCTTAACCGCGGAAGGGCGGGTGAAGGTCACTGCGACAGTGTCCAACCTGAGGCCCCGTGAGAAGTTAGCGAGTTCAATTCCATTGCCTAATAGCAAGCTTTGATCCCCCCACAAAGGCGAGAACGTGAAACATGTTCAAGACTATGCATGTACCTATGTTTGAAAATATTTCCATTTCACACCTCACAGCAGAGACCAAGTGTGTGAATAAAAGGGAGTCTAATATATTTTAAGAGGTCTAGCATGTGTCTCAACAAGTTTTAAACTCCCCATAAAGGCTGAATACTGAGTCCCCTGGGGCGCAAGGGCTCCAGCCGGAGAGTCTGGGTTTAAGAGAGAGGGTGCTCCTGGCAGGAAGATGTTTGGGGAATGATGGGTGTCTGCGTATTCTTTCACTGGGCCACCGCCTGGGACTGAGGTCCACTTGGTTCAGAGGCTTCAGAACTACAGAAACGTGGCTGCCTTCAACCATGGGGAATTGTGTAAACAGAATGTACCATGTAGGAAAAGAGTCCTATTTACCAAAAAGCAAGCACAGTCCATAAATCCAACAGGTTGGAATGGATCCAGGGCAGGAATTTCTCCAGATGTCAGTCTGTAAACAGGCTTCATAAAGCGAATTCCCCAATTAATTGTTGGCAGGGGCGATCTCCACGCAGCGCTGGCGCACTGTGACCCCCGCCACGTGCAGGTGGACTGTTGCCTGGGCCACAGAACACGGTCACTTACTAGACAATGCCCTCAGGGGAGGCGCTGGGTCCGCACGGCTGCATTTGGTAAGGAGAGAAGGCACCGGGAAATGACCACTGCTCAGGAACTCGGAGCCCGGCTCACTGGAGGAAATTTGAGAACTATCCTGTTATTTGCGTTACATCTGTTTTCCTAACACCCAGTCCTTAACCTGGAGCACTGGAAGGACACACCCCCAGTAAGAACAGGAACCTATAACTTAAAACAACACACCACCTCCTCACTGTTTTGTCCAAGC